GAAAAATGGGTCCCTGGAGTGTACCATTTGATATACTTCCATATTAGGAAGTCCATTATGTAATGTAGTGATGGCATCTGTGCACAGGAGCCACTACCAGCATCCCTGATTTTTGTGCATTTTTGCGCATTTTTTCCGATTTTATATGGGCTGCCAAGTATTATCCTGCAGTGATCTATATATGGGCTGGACCTATTTATAGCACTAAGATGTGGTATCTGGGTCCCACCAATATATTCCGATTTTACTGCGATTGTACTGGATTTTTCCGGCCCAGAATGATGGCCCCAGGCTATTATTACCCTCCTGGACTAATTGGGGTGGCTGTTTCCCAGGGTATACACCCAAACCCGATCTGGATCTTGATGCCTAGATGCCGGGCAGGCCATTTGAAACCCAGCCCGGCACCCAGCACCCCTCCCGGGACAAGGGAGGGTCATAATACATTACACTGGAATGTTATCCTGTGTAATGCATAAGGGTTTGTGACCACAATAGGGCTGTAATACATTAATACTACAGTATGAGGTGTTCGACTTTGGGATGCTGGATGGGATATAGAGGATATCTGTGATGCTCTGCTCATCTCTCAAGCTAGTCTTTATTGCTGGCAGGCCATCTTCCAACCATTTGTTGTCGCAAAACCACCATCTCTGCTTTGTGGCCACACCTGTATCATCACCCATGCAGTCCTAGCTGCTTCTGAGGCCATCTTTATACACAATATGAGCTGAAGTGGTGGCTAGCCATTCACCATGATATTGTCATCTCGACAAGCGCTTTGTCTCAGAACCTGTGTATGGCTGGTCTCACGCGGAAACTCCTGCAGAAGATTGCAAGTGAGTGAGATTACGAGCCCAGGGCAGAGTGGAAGGAGATGATTCAACAGCAGTCTGATGGGATGGGAGAACAGTTTGTGTTCGTCGATGAGACAAGCAAGAATGACCACACGGAAGCCCGGCGTTATGGCTATGCTCGGGCAGGTGACCGTGCAGAGTTGTTGGATTTCTTTGTTCGAGGTGATCAGTATTTGCTTGTTGCTGCTCTTACGAAGGAAGGCTATATTGCGGCCTTAGTTGTGCCAGGTTCATTTGACTCATATCAGTTCTTTGATTTCATAGATGAAGAAGTTGTAGGTCCTGTACTCCAACCTACCATCACTCTGACATAGTCTTTGAAATAGCTTCCTCTCATGAATCCATTTCCCGACACACAGTCTATCCTGGTCGTGGATAATTGCCATATTCACCATAACAATGCACTGAGGGATCTTGATTGTGCTGCTGGTGAGCAAACTGTCCCTACTGCTTGCACCTACAAGCTGATCTCTTCTTAGGCTGCCTTCTCCTTTGTCTTCCGCCTTACTCTCTGGACTTGAATCCAATCAAAGAATCCTTTTTGGCTCGTACATTTTGTCCATGCCACATTGTGTTGTTACTGGTAATAGTCCCAATAAGTGAAAGCTCATATTCATTGCCATGGGCAAGAGAGACGTGCTGCTGAAGATCCCATTCTCGCACTACTAGACGCATGTTCCTGTATCACTCCAAATCATGCCGAAGGATGGCTACGACACGCAGGCTACATTGTTTGACAGAATGACAAGTAGTTACACATTACAGTGACAAAAGGATGGCATGTACAATAGCAATGGAATAAGAGCTCAACAGTCTTGAGGGAGTGAACTGAGGCAAAGCAAAGAAAGCTGCAACAGAGGAGACAACGAGACAAGCCCAAGACAGTATGATGGTAGAGAGGGCAGGACTAGCATGTCGGCGAGCTCAGACAAAGTGTATATTGCAGACATCCTTGATGAAAGCATGATGCTTCTTGAGGAACTGGTCCCATGACAAGGTCACGAAACCAGCACTGCTCCAGTCTTCACGAGGTAGTGTTTCGACTCCACAGTCGCCGGGTACGTAGTCGAGAGCCTGCAGCTTTGCAAAATCACTGTCCAAGACCTTGTGAACATGACAGAACTTGTCCAGGGTGACTTTACGGGGGTGCTCAGGCACATCTCTGCTAGCAGGAATGGTGTGCAGCAGGTGCTGGACCGGATAGCCACCAAAACCAAACTGGGGAGTAGGTCCAGCAAAGCAAGGATTTGTGAAGGGCATCTGAAAGGGCTCAAAAGACTGAATTTGATTTGTAAGCTGTTGATTTTGGAAGAGAAGATGTTGTGTAAAGAGATTCTGATCACGCCCATTGTTGACGAAGGCAACGCAGGGCTGGACTAGGGGACCAGTGGATGCAGTTGTGGCTGCTGATGATACTCGAAGCCATTTGTCATGAGCGAAATGTGCAGATGCGGGGGGGCAATCAATGTTTGTGGCACCCTTCCCCTATAGGGAAGTCAATATCAAGCACATGTAGGAGATATATGCGCACCATATGAACAGCCCAGATCTGGAGCCGAAGATCGTTGAGCTCCCAATGATTATCACCGCTTTTGTAGACATGGATGTTGGGGAAGAGGGGACACCTGCCGATGGGGTAATGCTCTCGTAACACCGTCAAACCAGGTGAAGTGGCGACATCAAGGCCAGCCTGGTTCAAATATAAGCGTCACTCATTGAGAAACACTGCTACGTACCATTTGCTCCTGAATCGACATTGTCTGTGGCGGGTTCAATATCTCATCATAGTCCACCTCAGGAACTTGATTCTCCTTCCCTGTATACCAGCCCACAGGCTGTGTAGCCAATTAGCGCAAGCTTCAAGTCATACCAAGAATACAGCTTACCACAACATCCAGTGATTTCGTCTGTGGTGGTATCCAAACCTCAATCACGTGGTCCTTGATCCTCTCACCAATTGACATCACCATGGCCACCATCTTCGGCGAGTCTGTGGGCTTGGTGTACCGCCATAACATGTCAGCTCATACAAGACAGGGCAACGTACATCCAACAGCTGTTGTGATTGCCTGGAGGAACTCGTTGTATGCACACCAAAGAAGAACAGCCCATGTGGGATAACCTTTGGCAGTGCATTGGCTACCTTCCCACAAGCAGGGACCTTTAGAGTCGAGGAGAGTGGACTAGTTACCAGAACATAGGCAGAAATGTCTTGCACGTCAGAGTTGGGGGTGGGAGTTTCTGTTCGAGATTTCTTTCGGGGGTGTGCAGTCTTTGGATCATCGTGTTCAGAGTCCGAGTCGTCAGACTTGCGCAGTACGTTGGCGCTTGTGCTGGCAGCTTTCTGTGCCACCTTTTTGGCTGCCTTTTCTTGCCGGCCTGCTTTAGCCTTGGCATTTCTCTCCATCTTCTTCACTATCTCTGGGCTCATTATCAACCACCGATGTAAGACTGGGTGATGATTAGCATAAGTACCACTTACTACATACCTCTGGCAATATTTGAGAGATTATGTCTTCTTGCTCATATGCTGACATTGTAGCGCAAGGAGGTATTTCAACGGGAGGTAACAATACAGCGGTGGAGGCAGAAACATGTCGCCTGCAGGTCATTGACATGAGCTTATGCTTCCTGGAAATGGAAATTACCTAAATTGGACAATGTGCAGAAAATCCTGGGTTCTCATTATATTTTTATCCTGCTGTAAGCTTCATCTTGTTGGTGAACACCCTGAAAACTGAGGGATTCTCAAGCCAGGAGCAAAGAAGGGCCGTGGTCTCAGCAGCCGAAAAAGGGACCCAGTTGTTGACAAGGGAGGTGGCAGCCGGGGGAGTGTCATTGTTGTCTCCAACTGAGGCAGCATCTTTGGAATCCACTGTGTCACCCTCTGCCTTGTCACCCTCGTTGGACTTGACCAAGATGTGTTTGTGCTTGGAGGGCCCCACGATTCTAGGAGAGGGAGACCTCGAGGAATCAGTGGCACGAGACGGTACCGGAGAAGGGCGAGGGGTGTGAACTGGGGGCTCCGCAACCGAAGAGGGAGTTGCCAGGAACAGAGGAGTGCGCAGAGGGGGTGGAAGAGTGACAGAGGAGGGGTGCGGTGAGCCAAACAGCAAAGGCTCCTGAACAGGTGTGCAGCCAATGGAAGCTTCGACGCCCGGGGAAACCAGCAAAAGGTTCTTGACCACAGTTGGAGACCCTTCACGAGAGATGACCAGTGCCTCAGGAGGAGGACTAGGCAAAGCACGCGAGGGGACGATGGGTGTGGAAACTGGGCTGGCAAACTGAGGGAAGACCTCCAGGAAAGACGTCATATCTTCAACCTCACTGAAGAGCCAGCCACGCAGGATTGCGGCATCTGCCTCTGTTGTTGACCTGAAGTAGGACTCCTGTGTCAGGGGTTTGAGGCATGAGCCATCCCAGACCAAGAACAAGCTACACATGATGTACCAGCATTGGCGCAAATGCTCTTTGCGCCTCAGGGGACGGCATAGACGATATGGCTTGGGTGAACAAGGACATGGCAGTCCGTGCTTGCTCGGGTAGGCCAGACATGGTGGATGATGAGGATCAACAGAGTCAACCAGCCTGTTTTTGTGTGCAGTGCGGGTAGCGCTGGGAACTAGCTGAAAGCGCTCAGAGGCTATAAAGTGTGGGCAGACCAGACGTAACAAAACTCAAGGGTCGGACATGATCTGTTAAGTCGAGGATGATACGGCATGCCCATGAGAAGAATAAAATAAAGTTCTATCAACGACATCTATGACTTCGACAAGCGACTAATGAACAGGAATGACCAAGAACGGAATGATATCACCTGATGCTGTAGTAGTATTACATCCTGGACAACACTCCTGTGCTCCTTTACAATGTTTAGACCTAATGTAATGGGATTTCAGGCAGCAGGCAGGCAGGGTTTGGAGCTTGATCTGGTGCCTGTGGGGCTAAGGGTGGCTCCAAAAAATGCGCAACAATTCGGAGAAAATCAGAATATATTGGTGGGATCCAGACTCCACATATTAGTGCTATAAATAGCTGATGGGTATATATTGACCATGGCAGAATGCAGCTTGGCAGCTCATAGAAAATCGTAAGAAATGCGGAAAAATACAGAAAATTTCACAGCTACTGCCAATAGTTCCTGTGCACTAATGGCATCACTATATTACATAATGCACTCCCAAATATGGCAATATGTGGTGTGGTACACTTCTGGAACCCAATTTTTATGCTCTTTCTGGCTCTGTGGTCCATTTATCCTTATTCTTCTTTGTTCTAGCTCATATATTACCTGACCCAGGCAACATATGGAGGGGGGATATGTTGCAGTGATCCATAGGGCCTAGTGGCTATCCATTGCTGTAAAAATAATCTTTTCATTGCCGGCTCCAAAACAGTATTTCGTGTTTTCCCACGCTTATATTATATGCTACATCCTGATTTTATGGGATCATACTCACCCCGTATACATCTACAGGTTTACATAAGACAGCGAGATATTCCAAGCGGTGCATCATTAGATACCGCTTTTGGGTGGTACCCCTCCTGCGGACCCCCCAGGGGAGTGGAATGTGGTTCAAGTGGTTTTGAATAGCTCTCCCTAGAGTATATAATCATACCCCATTACATGGACCACATTTCCAGCCACACAGCCCATTATTTTCTCAAATAGTATTACTGCACCTCAAAACACTGTTCACCTCACCCTGCACCAGCTGGTATAGATTCCAACCTGGAAATAAGTCCTACCACATCCTAGAGTGCGCCCCACTAGTGTGACATTCTATTCTAACCATCCCGGGTGCATACTCCTTTGAGTGGACACTGATAGGTTCCCCAGGCCATTTTCAGATAACTTTCGAACGGATTCTGGACAGGCAAGCCTTGACATGAGTGCTATGCTAGCTACAGAAGATGATCAATAGAAGCTGACAAGGGTTCACCCCATTCGAAGTTGGAGAGAAGGTTTTGTTGAGATCTGATGACTTGGTCACTCTTTGTTGACTGAGTGGCTCATGGAATGGCCTAGGCCCTTCTAGGCCGAGTTACCTTGTTCTGAGCCACTCCCTTTGTTGTGAGCCACTCCCTTTGTATTCCTTGTATTCCTTGTATTCCTTGTTCTTCTTTGTATTTCGATGTCCCCCTTGTTCTGTCCTTGTTCTTTGATGCCCTTGTATTCTACAGTATATAAGGGCTCCCTAGGTCGCTCTGTGTCCCCCAGTCTTGACACAGTTTGACCTAGGTGAGTCTGCCACTTGTATTCCTTATGCCAGAATATAGTCTTGACACAGTTTGACCTAGCCCTTGGGTGTTGTCTGAAGCTAGTATCTTCCACTGTCAACAGGTTTGGCTAGAAGGCAAGAACCTACAGATCAATTACCCATCCAGGAAGATCGCCCCAAAATGCAAAGGACCATTCAAGAT